TTCTCAAAAGAGTAAAGCAATAGCCAGCATCTCCACAGAATCTCAGAAAGGCACATCATCTTTTCCCCAGCCCTCTTCCCTGCCCCCTTTTCTTTCCTCCTACCCAGCCTTGGATCCTCACATCTCAGGCTCCTTATCACCCTCCTCCTAGGGTTAGAGAGGCGGTGGAATTCTCATCCTAGCAGGCCTGCTGGGGGAAGGTAGAGAGCACGGGAAGGGAAAGAAGGTAGGGGAAAAGGATTCTGCAGAACTTTAACTCTTGGGCTATTTTCCTTCAACTTCTGCCAGGCTTATTGCTAGTCCAAGCAGAGACCAAGGAAAATGTCTCTTACCTTTACCCCTTCCCCACAGAACATCCTGGCCTGCCTCCTGTAGCTTAGCTCTAATGTTTTTTCAGAGGCTGGGTGAGACCAGCAGAAGCTTAGAGCAGTCACAGACATGGGGGACAAATGCTGCCTTTCACGACTGTAGCAGTAACAAGAAAAACATTTCTAGTGTCCACTATGGAAATGTGTGAGCTGTAGTGGTTTAGGGTCAACGAAATGTCTGTGAATATATATTATGAGTTCAGAAGACAGCTTTGTGTACAGGGGACAGTCTCCATGTTCCAGATCATTGACTTGCAAACAGACAGTGGGACCAGAACTCATGTAAGTTGGAAATGGGCTGTACTAATTTCTTCCAGTCATGCATAAAGAAAATTTGTTACTGGAGACGTATGCAGCTTCTATATTTTGTCATATAGGTGGATATAAAAACATTTTCAGGCAAGGATTTCCCAAACACTTCATATCAGAGACTTTAAAAGTTAAACACTAATCATGTAGAGTCTGGTTATTAAAAATAAAAGCTTCATACTTTTATAATATTTAAAATATATTTCAGCATACCTTAGACTATTTTGTCTGTTTGGAAGCTCTTTGAGGTATAATTTTCCTCATTTTCCAGATGAAAAAGTTAAGGCTAGAGGGGTCAAGCAAGCCTCTTGACTGATATCACAGGTCAGAGCATCAAAGGACTCAAGCTCAGACTGTGAGTTTCCCAATCTATTCCTTTTCCTAGTACATCACCACTGCTCCCACAGACTTTGAGTGTCTGCTTTTTCAGACTATACTTTATTTTTGGTAAGCAAAATCTTTACCTCCAAGAACATGCATGTTTTCAGGCTCAGCATGATTGATTCTGCTTACTTGGTTTGCAGGTGCCTACTAATGTGCTCTATTATACACGTCTAAAATGTGGACTTACAGGCATTATCAGGAGTCAGTTACAGGTTTAATGAAGTGATCATACTGACACAGCCTTCTTTTGATAAATTTAACAATTTAATATACAGGAATATATGAATATGTGAGGACATAAAAGCTTAACAGATTGTATTTTAACACCTAATTAAACAAAGCAGAGCAGAGAACTGTATTCTTGATTAAAGCTGATAGAGTTGCTATTTTGGGCCTGTGAACACTTAAGAATTATCTGTGATTTGTGGTAAATATAAGAAGAAAAGATAGTCTAAAGTTTTAAGAAGATATTTCAACCTTTCTTCATAAAATGACTACTCCCCAACATAAGCAACATTAATTGGAATTTTCTTTCAATTTGCTCCTTTATTATAGTTAACACTAATTTAAACTCTGCATTTGAAAGCTATCTGAGGAAAGCTAGTAGCTACTTTTGCCAAAGCAAATGATAAGTGAAATACTATTTATGATAACTTTCACGTGAAATATGACATGATAAGAATAAAAATGGTTAAAAGTGGCTCTTTCTAAAGAGGAAAGACAATAAAAATGAAATAAAAAACTTTAGGAGAAACCCAGAGATGGACTTGAGAGCTCTCTGTACTCTTGCCTAAATATGAGAAAGCTGTAGTCACGTAGCATCCCGAGCTGAGGGTGAGCCAGAGGTGGGCAGGAGAGTGCTGGAGCCTGGCTGGCTCATTGACTATCCTTCTCCTCATGCCACATCCAACATGGCTGCCAGACAAGACTGCCTTTCAATGAGGAGCAGAAGCTGCAGGTTCGTAGGTGTCCAGGTGCCTGAGTGGCCAACACACCCAAGCGAAGAAAGTAAGCTTGTGTTTTTATGCACACTAGGTAAATGCCTTCAGTTTAAATTTTTTTGTTAAATATTTTAGTTTATTTTATTGTTATCTTCCAGGTGTCTAAATCTCCAGTCTACCTATTGTACTGGTAATTTAACTCTGTAATGGAATAGTTTACTGCCAACTATTTATATTAAGTAATTTAAAAATATTTGTAATATTGTTGACTGACTAATAAACTATTAAGTTATTGGCAAGAAAAAAAGAAGCAAGCTTGAGGGAGTAAAGCATTTTTGTTTTAGGCCACAGAATAAGACCTTCTGGAAACTGTCTCTATTAGGATAGTTAAGTTTCTGCAAAGGCCTAAGAGATACTTATTTAGTTTTTAAATAAAGATTGTCTTTTCCCTTCTCTAATTTTTCCTGTCTTACCAGACATGGAAGTTCTATTTATTTATAAAATGTTTATATTTTTAGAGCAAGCCAGCTTGGAAGAGTAGGCTAAATCTGTCACTTTCCCAGGAGCCTAAACTCCCAAAGCTCTGACATCAGTGGCCTCTTTGTCGCTGGTAGATGCACCACTTAGTTGCAGGTGGAGCCATCTTGTGCACTGAGTTAACACTTTTCTATTCAATCTTGTTCACCAAAGAATGCTAGAATGATACATCCAGGGCAGAGTTGAAAATTTGGGGGCACAGATTTGAGATTTTAAAATGCTTAAATTTCTGAAATACTAATACATCAAATAATATGAAAGAAAATGGAAAAGAATACTATGGTTCCTTCTCATGGTTCCTTATTTTGATCGGAATAATAAAAAAATTCATTTGGCATGTTTCCAAACATGACAGATCAATAGAGTATAAAATGAAGAGAAATAAAAAGTTGAAATCTATACCAGTTGAAAAATTCAGCATTTTATGTGCAAATGAGTATTTTAGATACAAAATGTTGCACTCTTTAATTATGATAAATCTTCCATTATTTTGGTGACATTTACATATTCAGAAGATACTTTGGGCTGAATAATTAGTGTAATTATTATGTGTATTGGCTGAAACAGCCTCACTTTATTAGGAAACAAAGGTGTATAATTATATTTGTTTCTCTTGTGGATTATATATTATCATATTAATACTACACATTTATACAGTACTCTATTTTTTAATGCAAATAATTAATTCGAGAATTCTTCACCTGAGACTTTTCTTGCTTCATACGGCCAGAGTCAGGGAGATAAATTTATAATGCTGAGTCTCAATGGGAAAAGAAAATGGGAATTATTAGCTCAACAATTAGCTGATTCTGACCTTTTCTCATACCTATTTGCTTTTCAAGTTTTTAGGAAATTTAGTAAAATGTAGATTTATATCCTTCACAACCTATGAATATAATATTCTCAATTTTATGCTTCATTTTACAGAGTAATCAAGGAAGCATGTTGAGCAAAGTATACAAATTCAACAGCTGGGAAGGTATTATGGAGAGGTGACATTTTCTTCAGGTTTCCTTGAAAAGAACTGAAAACTGATGAAACTTTTAGACCAAATATTCCTTTGAAAACATGAATAGAATGTGTTTGTGAGAGGCATGTATTGAAACGTGATATTAGTGCGTGGTTATTTTTCACTTTCTAAATTAAACTGACATAAACAGTTTGAGAAATAAGTACATGGCTTTTAACTGAAAGCACAATTTTCCATGTAAATGTTGGTCCGTGTTCATCTTTATCTCAGTTAGTAGCAACCTTGTTCTGCAGCAGTGGCTCGTTAATTGTTGTGGTACGTCGACAGCTCCAGCTCGTGCCACCTTCCCAGTGCACCAACTTTCTAAATGCATCTCTTTCCCTGGTCAGCTTGCGCTGTTGCCTTTGTATGTCTTCCCACCTCATGGATGTAAGTTTCATTATGAGGATATTGAAAAACAGTCTTCCGGTCATAACCTCAGTGGCTTCCTTTTCTCTGTCACTTCCAAACCGCAGGACCATTGCTGGGCACCATGTCTGCCCATCCATGGGAGTTAGGAATAAACACAAAAGAGTTCAGTTCAGTTCAGCAAACAGTTATGATGCATCTGTTTTATGCCAGGAACTGCAGTAGGTGCTGGGGTACAAAGTGAAGAAGATAATTTGCTTGGTCTCAAGAGGGAGCTCCTGGTCTAATACCCAGGCTCCTACAATCCCTCAGCATTATCCTCTCCACTTTGCCTGTTCCCCTGTTGCTCATTACCTGTGCAACAGTGCCTCCCTCGCTGGCTCAATTCCTGCCTTTCTTCCCACTGTTCCTTTATCCTGCTAGTGTCTTCCTTTTCAACCATAGCCAACACTCCATCTTCAAGTGCTTAACGATACAACTTATACCTCAACTCTCTGGAAAGGCTTTCTGAACTAAGTAAGAGAAGTTGTAAATATTTAACTCTTTTCATTTTTCTAAATTATCTGATTATAAGCAACAACAAAACGAAGATCCCATATTATTATCTGCAGAGTTAATTTGGGGACAACAGGGACCTCTTAGTTTTTTGATTAATTTTAAACTTACTTGTAATTAATGGGTAGTATATGTTATGAACCATTAAAAATTACTTAATAGCAATCACTTTTGAAAATAGGAGGAAAGTAAACATTTTTATGGCAGATTTGTTTGCCTTAGGAATTATTTTGAAAGAAGTATTAGAATTGAGGCTTGGAAAAAAGGTAGAGTGCTTGACCTGTTGCAGTGGCTCACGCCTGTAATCCCAGCACTTTGGGAGGCCGACTTGGGTGGATCACGAGGTCATGAGTTCCAGACCAGCTTGGCCAATATGGTGAAACCCTGTCTCTGCTAAAAGTACAAAAATTAGCCGGGCGTGGTAGCACACGCCTGTAATCCCAGCTACTCAGGAGGCTGAGGCAGAAGAATAGCTTGAACCTGGGAGGCGGAGGTTACAGTGAGCTGAGATTGTGCCACTGCACTCCAGGCTGGGTGACAAGAGTGAGACTCCATCTCAAACACAAACAAACAAACAAACAAACAAATCCCAAACAAAGATTGCTCATATTTTTGCCTAAATGAAAAAAATTAGAGATTTTTCTTTCACCTATCCCCCAAAACAGCAAAAATTCATATAGCCTTATTTCCAAGAAATTGGAATATTGGACCTGTGAAAACAAAAATAAAGAACATGGAAAATGTTGCAAAACTAAAGTATTTCTCTAGATCATTCAAATTAAGTAAGGCAATAATTTTATTTCTTAGAAACATTCACATATATCCAGGCCTGATTACTTCCCCAAACTCTCCCTCTTTCCATTCCTTTTTCTCCCTACTCATCCCTCACTCCCCTCCCAGAAAACTCACTGTGGCGCCACTTTCCAGAGACTAGAAAAATTGAACCCTGGCTGTTGAAAAAATGACGATTTTTAACATCTCTAAAAGTTTCCTAAACCTTCTTTTTATCTCTTTTAATTAAACTTTCTTTTCTAAACAAACTCCCTATCTAATCGCAGTGTTTTTTTTTGTTCTTTTCTCCCCACACTATTGCTGCCATACTATATTTTCTATTGTTTATTTAAAGCGTGCAGTATTTCAATTACATTTGGATTAAATAAGGTTTTTGTAAGTTGATCTTGAAACTTAATCACCATCTGCAGCAAAGTGTTATGAAGAAATATATTCTAAGACTAACAAATGACTGTCTACAACATAGCCTGTTGTAAACTGAAAAGTGTTTCTAATATCATAGATTTTCATGTGTGGGTTTTGTACCCAGCTTTGTTAAATTATAGTTTCACCCAGAATGTTGCTTTTCAGGATATTTTTTTAATTTACAGTTTATATTATTATTTAATTGGTAGTAAGCCATTTCTTCTTCAGCATATGAAGGACACAGTTTTTGACATTCTAGCTTGTAAGTCAATTTTGATAGTTCATGATAACTGGATTAAATATTACTATGTTAAATAAGTGACCCAGTACTTTGGTCATTAAAATTCCCAAATTGGATTACTGTTTGCTTCCTGATTGGACAGCAATTCGCCTGCTAAATCTAAACTTAATTAGAGAGATTATACTTGTCAATATACCAAACTTTCAATATGCTGCATTCCATTAACTCACTCACTATAACTCTTTGCCCTCTAGCATTTTTTTCAGGGCATCCTTTACTTCTGTGTTTCTCAGGCTGTAGATAAGAGGGTTACGCATGGGAATTACAAGACTATAAAACACAGAGACTATTTTGTTTTGTTTCCATGAATTCCCCGCTTTTGGTTGCTGCAGGTACATGAAAAACAGTGTTCCATAAAAGATGGTGACCACAGTGAGGTGGGAGGCACAGGTGGAAAATGCTTTGCACTTGCCCTTGGAAGACTGGATTTTTATAATGGAAAAGAGGATGCAAATGTAGGAGATGAAGATGGTCAGGAGGGACCCAGTGAGATTTACTGCAGAGAAGATCATGAGCTGCTTTTCTTTGCTGTGGGTGTCAGAGCAGGAGAAGGCCAGAAGAGGGGGGTCAGGACAGTAGAAGTGGTGGATGACATTGGAGTCACAGAAAGACAGCTGGAACGTCAGAGCTGTCTGTATCACAGAGTTTAGGAAGCCACAGGTATAGACCCCTATCACCAACTCCCTGCAGACCTGCTGCGTCATAATAGCTGTATAAATCAGGGGGTTGCAGATGGCCATGTAGTGGTCGTAGGCCATCGTGGCCAAGAGGAAGCATTCTGTAGTGGTGAAAGCACTGGAGAAGTACAGCTGAGCAAAACAGCCTGAAAAGGAGATGGTTTTTTTCTTCACTAATAAATTTTGCAGCATCTTGGGCCCAATGGAAGATGAGTAACAAAGATCAATGAATGCCAGGTGACTGAGGAAGTAGTACATGGGGGTGTGGAGCTGTGAGTCTGCTCTGATGATCAGGATCATGCCAAGGTTTCCCACGAGGGTGATGAGATAAATGACCAGGAACACCACAAAGAGGGGGAGCTGCATCTCAGGACGGTCTGTGAATCCCACGAGGACAAATTCGGTCACTGTGGTATGATTGTCTTTTGCCATGTTCTCTCGCCTGCTGCAAAAATAAGAAATGATTAGATACTTAAAAACAAACGCTTCTTACCTCTTTGTTGCATTACCATATGAAAAAAAATGTGGCTTTACATTTCCAATAGTTAAAGGCTGTTATTAACTATGGGACTTTATTCTGCTAAAACAGACTTGGCAAGACTGTACTCATTTCTTTTTGGAACCAGGAGAACGATTTTCCTAGGACAGAACCTATTTTTATGTTAACAGTGTTAGTGTTTTCATTTCAACTCAACAGATACTTCCGGGCTTTGTGTGGGGCCAGATAGCATGCTTGGTGCTGGGCTGGAGATGGGTATGGCAATGACATTGTCTTTGTTCTTATGGAGTCTAGTGGAGGGTTCGTAAAACATTCCATAAGGGGAAGTAAGCCAAGTACTATTGGAGCTGTACAGAGTGCTGTAGGAGTTCATAAGAGGGAGAGATTGAATGTGGATGGTGGAAATGGAAAAGCTTCATTCATTCATTCTTGTTCCCTTTTAAAACACATATTGCCCCTCTTCAATGTGCCAGATGCTATGCTAAATGAAGGTGATACAAAGATGAATAAAACGTATGCCTGCCTTCAATGAGCACACAGACTGGTACAGACTGGTAGGAGAAATATGCATGTAAGTAACTAGTTACAATTCACTGTGGGCAATGCTCTGAAAGAGAGGAATCTCCTAACTCAACCTGCTTGCTGTGAAGGCAGTGCGTGGGGGTGGAGGATCAGCTGTCTCAGGCAACACTGAATTGTCCTAAATTTTAGTCTGGATATTTAAAATTATAAATGCAATATATCCACTTGGCGAACTTATCAATAGGACAGAGGGATATAAATGAAAAAACAGTTTCTCTGCTCTACCTCCAATGTAATTACTTAATGGTATCCAGTGTTAACAGTTCCTTTAATATTCTAAAAACACTTAGGTATAAACAAGTATCAATACACACAAAACACACACACACACACACACACTTTTCTACATAAATGAAATCATACAGTTTTGCACCTTTTCTCTTTTTACACTTAAGAAGTATTTCCATGATAAGAATACATGGACACATAGAGGGGAACAACACACATTGGGGCTTATTGGAGGAGGGTGGGAGGAAGGAGAGGATCAGGAAAAATAACTAATGAATACTAGGCTTAATACCTGGGTGATGAAATAATCTGTACAACAACCCCCGTGACACAAATTTACCTATGTAACAAAACTGCACATCCTGTACAGGTACCCCTGAACTTAAAATGAAAGTTAAAGAAGTATTTCCAAAGCAGTTCATAGAAATCCATGATATTTTCATAACTGTATCATAATTTATTAATAAGTTCTGTCTTAATGGATATTTAAATGTTTACGACTTTATTTCTTTTTTTCCCCCTATCTCAAATAAAGCTTGCGTTCCTATGTCTAAGCATGTATGTGGATTAAAGATAAATCACTAGGTCAGGCATAGTGGCTCAAGCCTGTAATCCCAGTACTTTGAGAGGCCGAGGTGGGTGGATCACGAGGTCAAGAGATCGAGACCATCCGGACCAACATGGTGAAACCCCGTCTCTACTAAAAAAAAAAAAAAAAAAAAAAGAAAAAGATAAACCACTTGAAGTGAAGTTTGGGTCAAAATGTATATATTCATTTTACTTTTTTGATGGTGATTGACAAATTGACCTCCAAGTAAATTTCACCAAGTCAAACTCCCTTCTAACAATATTGTGCAAGAATACTGATTTTCCCATACTTTTATCCAAAGTTTTATTAAGTTTTAAGCCTTTCCCACTGTGATAGTGGATATTGGTAACTCCTGTAGTTTTGTGTGTTTTTATGAGTAGGGGTTAGCATTTTTCAAACAATTATTTGCATGTATATTTTTTCCCTATAAACTGTCAGTTCATTTCCTTTGTGAATTTTTCTATTAGGTTGATTGATTTTCTAGAACATTTTATTTCTAGGAGGCCTTCGTTTATGAAGGAAACCAGCTCTTTGTCTGATACATGTACTGCAAATTACTTTTCAGTTTGTCAGTTGTCCCTTAACATGGGTATGATAATTACTTTGTATGCTATGCAGTGAGTTTTGCGTTGATTTCAAATTTATCAATCCTTTTCCTTTTGAATTCTGATCTTTGCAATATGGTTAAATGAAACATCTTCAATTTAAAGTTATTTAAAGAATTATCTCCTGTTTTAGTCCAGAGACTGACTTCATTTCAATTTTATATTACAAACTTTGATTTTCCTGGAAATTTAATTTTGATATAAGGAATGAGGCAATCAACGCAGTTATGCCTCAAATAAAGACGGGAATACACTCTGAGAAATGCATTGTTCAGTGATTCTGTCATCGTGTAAACATCATAGAGTGTACTTATACAAACTGAAATGATATAGCCTACTATACACCTGGGCTATATGGCATAGCTTACTGCTCCTAGGCTGCAAACCTGTACCGCATGTACTGTGCTGAATATAGTAGGCAATTGTAACACAATGTTACTTGTGTATCTAATCATATCTAAACAAAGAAAAGGTACAGTAAAATACAGTAAAATAATATTATGAGATCACCATTGTAAGCCGTCTGTTGTGGATTGAAATGTCATTATGCACTGCATGACTGTATTTTTACTTATTTCTTCAATGGCTAGCCAGGTGTTCTAATGCAACTTATTGGTGAAATTGTTTTCCTGCTGGTTTTGTTGATTTAAAACTCCAGACTTATCCTCTACTAATACTAAAACATCCTGAAGTACTTGGGTCAATTTATGATTTCTTTTTTTGTAGTCTTTTCTAGAACCAAGACAACACATTTAAATTAAATAGTTATATAATTCATTTTACTATCTAGTAGCAATTTTTCTGGCCATTCTCAGGTGTACATTTTCCAGATGCAGTCTAACATTATTTTATCAAGTTCCAAAAAAATCCTGTTTGTACTTGGAATGCTATTGCATTAAATTGATTTGTCAGTTTAAGGGAAAATTGACATTTTTACAACTGAATCTTCTTTTCTTAACTGTGGTATTTATTTTATTGATTAAATAATTTCCTAAATAGAGTTTTAGAGTTTTATTTAAACTTTACAGATATACAACCTATGTATTTCTTTAAATTCTAGTCACAGGTATTTTATCTTTTTGTTACTATTGCAAATTAAATCCTAAAAAAGTTTTTTTGTGGTCTATTTAAGTATTATTTGCATACAGCAAAACTACTCATTTTTTTATAAATTAATTTTATAACTCTCTTCCTTACAATACTTTCCTATCATTTAAAAATAGTTTTCTGGTTGATTCTCTTGGGTTTCTTAACTACACAATCATACAATATGAAAGGATGTGAATTTCATTTCCCATTTCTGTAACATATTTTTGTTTCTTTTTCTTCTCTACTTGTATTGGTTAGTACTTCCAGAGCAATGTTAATATATAGTAACAGTGGTGGCAATTTTTACCTTTTAACCTCTTGAAGGATGCTTCAGAAGTATAAGGACATTCTCAGGCATTCTAGACAGAGGGAATAGCCTGTGCAAAGTTACTGAGGTTTGAGGAAGTGCAGGCGTTAAAAACTACAAATATTTGCTATGGTTAGAAATCAGGCTTCCTAGGAGCAAAGCTGCCTTTGGCATTGGCAGGGCCCAGGGCAAGAATAATAAATGAAGACCCACATACAATATGCCTAAATATTTAAAAGTTAAAAATCAAGATAACAAATTACTAAAATACATTTTATCCTCCCTCCTTAACAAGTATACTTATATAATATCTGGAAGGCAGAGTTCTTGGGATCCTTGGAATCACAGGCTGGAAGGCAGTTTTGTGAGGAGGACCCATTGCTAGCTCACATGACTGCAGTTGCACAGACACGCGAGCAAGCATGTATAAGCTCTGTTTATACTCCTGCAAGTGGCCATCCCTTGGCCACCCATAACGCCTAGTTGTGAGAACATGAGCAGCATGGTTTACCCTTACAAGGACGGTTTGGTAAAGAGACACTTACGGACTCTGGGAATAAGTTGAAAGCCTTTTGAGCAAGGAACCTTAAGGTCTCATTACTAGGAAGATGGTCTAGAAGGGGTGGATACCAGGGACTGGAAGGACACATCCATTTGGCATCATAGATGCCTTGCCCCATGGAATGTAGTGCAGTAGTAAGAAGCCCAGAATGGCTCTGAAGAATGGGGCCAAGGCAGAGTCCCTATTGTTTGGATCAAAAGGTGCTACTGTTTGTGAGTTAGTGATAAGAAACATGGCTGGAAATGTGTATCTGGGCTAGATAACAGAAGGTCTGGTATCCCTCTATAAGGAGTTCAGTCTGTATACTGCAGAGAGTCGGCAGCCTTCAAATTGAACTGAGCTGGCCATTGGAAGATGGAAAGAACCTCAAAATGTGAAGGGTGGATTAAAGGAGCGTCTTGGGTACAGAGAACAATTGAGCCAGGGGTTCAGCTAGAGCAGCCCAGAGCATGCACTGGCGACTGTGGGCTTCCTTTTGGGTGAGAGAATATGCCTATGGAAGAGATTCATGGTGGATAAACTACATGTGAAAAGTTTTGGATGTCAGGGGGATGCAATAACTGGTTCAGTAGTGAGCATGGACCCATTGAACACTTGAGCAGTAGAATTGACCTGACCAGCATTCAGCTTTCATGGAGGTGGCCTGGCAGTATGCGTGGATGGTGTGAAAGAAGAGAGCCATCAGCAGGGACACCGGCTGAGACATTTTCCATGTCAGACAGGATCAGGGTTTGAACTAGGGAATCATGGCACAAATGAAGAAAGGAGATAGGCACAAGAAGTATCTCAAAGACAGAGTTTGTGTCACTTGGCAATTGACTGAGAATCTAATCTTTCAATATGCCAAGATTCATTCTGTTTTACATATATTATTTTATTTAGTACATAATTATTATTTTCATTATTTTCTTAAGGAGGAAACTAAGACATGGAAATGCTCAGTAGTTTGTCAAATTCCCAAAATAGATGAGCCAGGATTTGAAACCAGGTAGGCTGATTCCAGAGCTCTCTGCCTAAACTATCTCTCTATTTATGATTTCTCAGTGTTCATTTTTTCATAATTTTGTTTTGCCTATTTCTTTCTTGCATGATTAGACTCCTGTGAGGAAATTTTAGGCATATTGGAATGAGTTCAGTAACACTTCCTCTTAATTTGTTCTGGCACATTTACAATTTATTGTGTTTAACCAGTATGTTCAACATTTGACAACTCAGTGCTGTTTCTTCCTTACCTTTACTCTTCATGGGGAAACAATTCAAACAACTTGGTGGAAGAACCTAAGAAATATTCTTAACTCTTAGAAAGTGAAAGAACATAAACTCCTTTGAGAATCTGATGAAAGCTAAGTACCTGTCCCTAGGAAGATTTCACTTACATAAAATTTGGCTTGTGATTTCAGAGGCTTCCTATGTTTGTCAGGTCCCTGCTGCGGTTTCCTCATAGAATAATGCACTAGTTTAAAAATAAATCCCAGATTTCCAAGAGCCAACCAATATTTCCCCATTTCATCTCTGGTGGAAACAAAGCACACCTGTCCCAAAGCCCTGCCCTCTTCACAGTCCTGGAGCTGAAACCCTTCTCTAGGCTGCCTTGTGGCTTTAGCCACGACAGCCTTAGAAGTAAATGCAACTTACCAAGTGCCTGTCAGTTAGTCGGGATTCCCAGTGTTCTAGAAGCATCCATTTAGTGCATATCCAGTCAGACAAACAGGCTTCTTCGTATCTGCCTGGAGGCCTTGGTTTCTGTTCTCCGCAGAAACTGTACTTATAAAATGTAATGAGTCTGTTATCTCTTGTGGTTCCAGAACTTCATGGGTACCAAGGGAACAGTTTATACAGAGTTTCTCTGAGATACTTTACATTTGATTTAAATCACCCTTGGGAATTAAAATCCCTAAATCATCCCCGTAACTAATGATGACTCAGGTCATGATGCTTTGGTACCTGTTCTCAGGATGACTCCCACGTTCAGAACCTTGGGTGTGATGCTAGGAGACAGCCATCCTCCCTTTCCCATGACATCTACAGTGGGTGGCCTTAAAGTTGTGGCTGTAAATGTTTTATGGGGGGCTAGCTAAGATTACGCAAAGATTGTATGACTAGGATGCACATATAGGACATTTTTGCTTGCACAGAAAAGATGATCTTGGTTAGCATATTTATCCCAAAAGATAATGTAAGAGAAAAGTAGTGTTCATTTCTCCTACTGTTGTGTATTTCCCATCAAATCAAATTAAGGAGTCAGAGACTGAATGTTCTAATGGTCCTGTAGACCTCCTCCCCTTTCTCCCTTCTCCATTTCTCTCTGGATTGAAGCTGGGGCAATCCATGCCTCCTGGTGTGGTTAGGGTCAGTTTCTCAATGCAGCTGCCCTTTTTCTCATGGCCACTGGGGAAAAAAAGATTAGAACCTGGTTGTCTAGGTCATTAGTTGTAGTGATTCAGCACAGCCCTTAAAGTGCAAGGACACTGTCTGCAACCTTGGCATTTAAGTCAAGGCAGAGTTGAAGTCAAGAGCATTCTCAAATTAGAAAGTGCATTTTCTCTCCCTCAGCATTCCTGGAGTTCATTAATTCACACCAAAGAGGAGGAAACTGGAAAAAAAATACAATTGGGTCAGACCTGGAGGTTTGGTTTTAGTGGTCTTTCTTAGTCAACTTTGCCAATTTCAGTAACTTGTAGAAGGTAAATCTGTGACTTTTCATTCTGGTGAGGGGGGAGAATATCTAGGTTATATCTAGTGGAGAGTGCAATGTAAGTTTGATTTGCTAATTGAAGAACTCCATGATTTTGCAAATGCTGTAGCTGCTCACCACCAGGTTACCTTAACAATAAGCCATAGAACATTTGTTTCCAGTCCCTAGGACTCTGTGCCTATCTTGAGTAGTGACCAAAGGGGCCAGAGTTAGGGACAGAATCAGAGAGCCAGCTGAACTACTGCCATTTATGTCACATTTCATCACTATCATTTCACTGTCTAGTCCCAGTACAAATGGTAATGTACTTTTTAGCAAGAATTGGTTTTTCTATGGAATTCTTATTGCATGATGAGCCAATTCTAGGAATTGAATATCTGGGGTGAAATCCAGCCAGGCCTTCTAAAGACTGGGTTTGCAGAAAGCACAGGACGTTGCGGATTTTGTCTGGGTGAATGCCTGGAAGCGAGGAGATGAAGGGATCAACTGACACCGTGTGTCTCACAGAGCTAAGGAAGACTGACTTCGGCACTTTTGAACCAGCATTTACACTATGCCACCCTATTGCTCACAAATCTGAGAAAGAGAAATTCTAAGTCCAGGGGTGTTAGTCATCAGCGAGATTCTAAAGAGGGGGAAGGTGTTTTTAAGGATCTGCTTGGTCATGATAATTTTTTTTTTTTTTTTTTTTTTTTGAGACAGGATCTCACTCTGTCCCAGGCTGGAGTGCAGTGGCGTGATCTCAGCTCACTGCAAGCTCCGCCTCCCGGGTTCACGCCATTCTTCTGCCTTAGCCTCCCCAGTAGCTGGGACTACAGGCACCCACCACCATACCTAGCTAATTTTTTGTATTTTTGGTAGAGACAGGGTTTCACCGTGGTCTTGATCTCCTGACCTCTTAATCTGCCCGCCTCGGCCTCCCAAAGTGCTGGGATTACAAGCGTGAGCCACCACGCCTGGCCTTGGTCATGAGATTTCATTCTAGTTTTGGGGAAGGACTCCTGTTAAAGGAAGGTGCACATATGATTCATGCATTCAACTGGGGATACACTTTGAGAAAGAGCATTCTCTAGATTGTAAGAATCTTGGTAATATTCATTCTTGAAGGTAATGACCAGTAGGTGCTAGGGACAGAACTCGAAACCACTGATACTTTGTTTTACCACTACTAGGAACTCATGTGGGGTTGATGATTCTTTCATAGCACCATGGGTGGGTGGGCGCTCTGAATTATCCTGTGTGCCCTGGAGTAGCTGAAGTGCTGCTGCATTTGGTTTGAGGCTTAGATTTCCCTTGATGAAATGTTTCCCTATTAATACAATATGGAGTCGGTTAAGCTCTGAGGAATGTCCACCTATAATTCTGTCTTACTCTTAACGAAATTTAAACAGGGTTAGACGAAGTGCTGGTACTATCCTGGAGTGGGAAATTTCAACCTTCAGAGTAAAGGAAGGCTTTTTCACTCCTGCATTTACTTTCTTTGTATCTAATTTAACAGGCTGGAAGAAGTGCTGGCACTATCCTGGAGTGGGAAATTTCAACCTTCAAGGTAAAGGAAGGCTCTTTCAGTCCCGCATTTACTTTCTTTGTATTTGTGAGCCATGTGTATGTTGTGACATCCCATAAAACAGCTTAGTTGTCTGGCCCAGGAAAGTCTCTGCTCTTTATGACCTGAGAAAAGAAACTCTGGGCTGTGATTACATTACGACTAACACAGCTTAAATGCCCAATTGTTTGCATCCATCAGATTTATTTGAATGACACAACATATTGACCTACAGGACTTATTCAATAACATGTGCTATAACAGAAAAATATTTTTCCAGAAAATGATTCACATAGTACTTATAAAATTTTTAATAGTACAATTGACTTGTGTTGTTTTCCTTCAGAGAGGGAAGTCCATGGGTGAGACTAACTCAGAATTTTTACTGCATGAGCTCAAAATAAACAGGTGTTGTGTGATGTAAGAAATGAATGTCTTCTGTATTCCCCACCCACATGCTCCATAGAGTATGTAAGAGAAAAAAGAAATGGCATGAAGAAAATTTTTATTTGAGAAAAAAAACAAACAACCACTCAGCAAAGTCTTAAAATATGGACTGTTTCTTTTGTTTTATACAGAACATTTTGGTTTTTTGCATTTGATATTTTTGAAATTCATGTTATCTCAATTTCCAAGACCAGATGACACTAAACAGATTGGGCTTCAGTTTCAGCTTAATTAACAGCAGAGGCTTTAATATGCTTCCCTTTGATGCACATTCAATAGTCTATTTAGACCATCTCTGGGAAATTCCTTCCCTCAGAATGCCTTGAAGTGTATGAAGGGGGTTCAGCATGATTATGGCTGTGGTTACCTGGTACAATTTAGGACAAGACTTGAGCCAGTTTGTTTTGTAATCTCAGAGAATAAGGTTGGATAGACTCAGGATTGAGAGGTGGAAGACATGGTTGCAAAAAACTTCAGAGGGGAGAATCCTTGGGGCTAAAGCCAGGATGGATACCTGAAGGATGAAGATAGTCCTCAGAGCACTGCTGATCTTTAAGGCAACACCAGTAAAAAAAATCTGGCAGTCTTTTGAGCAAAACCCTAACAGGTAAGAGTTAGAGTCTGAGGAACTGTGTAAGACTAGAGACAGACGATGGTCCAGTCAGCACGCAGAAGCAGAGAGACTGCCATTGTGTGTGTCCTTGAACTCAAGTGAGGCTGGGCCAGCAGGTCACTTTGAACTTCTATAGTCACTATGACTGTGTGTAGCTCACAGAGTGTCTGATGGACCTGGATTGCTCATAGGATACTCTGGCCAGGAAACGGTGATCCTTGGCAAGTGGGACATGTAAGAAATAAATCTGGATAAAGGTGCCCATCATGACATTGGTTGCTCTCTGTAAAATGAGACTGTGCAGTATATTGTGGGAATGGCAGCAGCCCATACAGACTGAAATGTGCATGGAACAAGAGAAATTCCAACCAAATTGGAGTGTCAGGATTGGCTCCTGCTTCCATATGAGGATGAGGACATTTAATATTAAGAAAGATTTGGAAAGAGACCTTTGATGCTCTTGATTTTTGGGGAACACATGGAGGCACTTTGGTCTGGTATACTGAATCTCTGCAGTCATTTTGTTCCTCGAAATTTTTTCTTCTGGGGAAAAGATAAAATATTCACAGGCACTGAGGAAGACAATGAATAAACAGTGGGATTGAGATTAGATGTAAATAGCTTTCCCCCAGCACATTTTGGTGTTAGTTCTGCAAACATAACTCCAAAGTTGTATTACTTCATTCATGCCTACAAAGAACATTAAACATAGTTTTAAAAAAATTGACATTGCTCCTGTCTCACCCCAAGCCATTTAAAAATCTTTTTCTCTTATCCCTTCCTTGATTTACACCACTGTAGGCCTGCATTCTGACAATACTCCATCTTACATCTGAGCCTGATTTTAGCCATTCATTTCTCTTTTTATATGTATATTTTGCTTAATTTTATTTTTTATATATCAGTTTATTTTTTTTCAACCTTTAGATTTAGGGGGGACATGTGCAGGTTTATTACCTGGGAATGAAAATATCTAGGTAAAAGGGTAATCTAGGAAAATGTTCAGTGGAAGGACTTCTGATGATACATCATGGCTTGATATTTTTATTTAAGAATATAGTAATATGCCACTGGCATGGGGCACTATGGACTTCATATGATTTACAGCATGAAGATAAGACAAATGTATGATAAAATTTTAAGATGCTGTTATTTGACTGGTATTCCAGGTGTGTCATCCTCCCACACAGATGTCCAAAGAGCTGACAGAACATTCATTGCTACACTTACACCCTTATATCCTTTTCTTTCCTGCTCTTTCAAATATGACATTAAGTGAAAATGTCCTTTACTGATCAATCAAATACCTAGAACTATAGCATTAATTAACTAATTCATGCTTCAAAGCTGTTGTTACCTACTAGGGTGTCTATAATTATTTCTAGCCATGCTATTTTCAGAATTATTTAAACTTTTTCACAAGTGCATGTAGTTGAATAAGAAGACCTATTTCCTTTAGTCTATGCACTTACTTTATGCCTAATTTGACATTTTACATTCTTTCTTTTCATATTTTATATTGTTTGGCTTTTTAAATTGCACATTATTAATCTTTGAATGCTCTTCCCCCAAGTATTTAATTTGCAAGTGTACACACTTAAAACACAATTTGTATGTAACTTGGAAAAAACGGAAATATGCATCTCCTTAATTATTATTGAACTTAGTTCCGAAAAGCAATTTGATAAAACAGGACATGAAGATGAAGGTAATTTTCTTTAGCATTTTACTATAAAATAATATAGTAAAAGATTTTGATATCTTTTTGGCCAGGAGTTATTTCTACAGAGACAATTTTTAATGCAAGGTTAAAAATGCCTTCTTTCGTCTTAGTCTCACTCTTCTTAGTTTCACTATTTATGTCAGATTCTGTTTGCTTGAAAGCCGGATCCCGACCATTCATTGAACCTTTCTGAACTCTCACTTGGTTAACATGCACACATTTGCACAGACTGATCTA